TCCCTGCCGGCCCAGCACCCCCCAGCCACCAAGGGCTTCCTCTCCCTGCGGCCAGTGCTGTGGCCAGCAACCAGGGAGGGAGGGGAAAAGGTTTGGGGCTGGTGGGCTACTATCAGAGCCCCAACCATGCTGGCCACGCCCTTCATGGTGTGGCTGCCCCTGGTGGTTTCTCCGCAGTATAGCTCTCTCCTGCCCCCAGTGACGACACTCAGTATCGCATCCCTCTTCTCTGTGCCCCTCCCTTTCCTTGTTATGGAAAACAGCCAGCAACCAGGGAGGGAGGGGAAAAGGTTTGGGGCTGGTGGGCTACTATCAGAGCCCCAACCATGCTGGCCACGCCCTTCATGGTGTGGCTGCCCCTGGTGGTTTCTCCGCAGTATAGCTCTCTCCTGCCCCCAGTGACGACACTCAGTATCGCATCCCTCTTCTCTGTGCCCCTCCCTTTCCTTGTTATGGAAAACAGTCCCATTCCTGGCACTTCCCATTTCCTTGGCACAACCCAACCCTGACCTTGCTTTAAGTTAGAACAAGAGGAAGCTGCCTAATAATTTTGGTGGTCCTGGCTCTTACCGTTTCGGAGGAGTTTTTGAACCAACGGACTCACAGATGGACAGATGTGCATTTCTCAAATATATAGAGAGAAGATAACATTAGTTTCATGAAGCTGAGGCCTGATGGTAGGTTACATTTGCACTAGTGCACTTTGGGTACTCACTGTGTACACAGCTTCACATCCAAAAGGGTGAGATTATTTACACAAATGGTTCTAGATATACCCTGGCATGCACAAATACTCAAGCTGGTGCACACAGTTGTGATAACTGCACAACCAAATTAGACAGTCTGGATCTCCACATGTGGAGTAATCAGGCCGTATCAATTGTATTTTCTTTATTAAGACTATCGCAAACTTCCATTCAGAATCTCCACAGCCTAAATCAAATTTAAAAAGTTTCTGCTAAGAGCCATGTGTCAGTGCCTCAGAACCAGCCTTGCCATCAAGAAATCTGAATTCGGGTCTCTGCTCTGACATTAGCACCTGATATGTCATCTATGGCAAATGACAATGGTCCACCTTTGTATGGCACTTTGGGCATGTCTAGACTACGTTTTACTTTAGAAAGAAGATATGTAAATCCGGTGGGAATTTGCGTATCTTCTTCCAATCACTTTTTCTAAAGAGTTTTTTTCAAAAAAGCAAGCAGTCTAAGCAACCTGTTTTTTCGAAAGAACCTGTAAACCTCAGTTTTTGAGGAAGAAGGTTCTTTTGGAAAAAGGAGTGAAAGAACCACGTCTAGACTGCTTGCTTGTTCGAAAAAAACTCTTTAGAAAATGTGATCGGAGAAGATATGCCAATTCCCGCCAAAGTTGCATATCTTCTTTCAAAAGTAAAACGTAGTCTAGACATGCCTGAGATGTATGCTGGAAAAGTATTCTGTAAGGGGGGGCGTGGTGTGGGCACAGTTTACATGTTTATTCTTTGGTTATTTCTGTAAAATAGTATTGGGCGGCCTGTGGGCCATATGCAGCCCATTGGGGCTCTGTGTGTGAGCCATGAGATATTTTATTTACCGTTACCCACATGCAGGGTTGCCAGATTTTGCTGGTTTCCATCTGTATAGTTTTTTTTCCCACCGGCATTGCTAAAATGACACGCATGTGAAGCAAGGGCATGTGAAGTGAGGTGTGTGCTGATGGCACGCAACATTGACTGAGAGAGCTGTGCGCTCCCTCTGCATCCAATTCAAGCGCCTCTACGGTTCAGTCAGCGTACTCTGCGAATTCTAGGTACGCAAACAGAGTTAGCAAAACTACCCTGTACCCACGACGATCTTGTGGACCAATGAGAAGGAGGGCCACTCGTGCGGCCCATTTACTAGCCAAGGTTGCCCATCGCTACTCAAAAGCCACTTGAGTGATGAAGCCGTGCCCAGTGGCTTGTTTTTTGTAGGGTTGCATGTGTGTTCTAGGAGGTTGGCATTGATTCACTTTTTAGAGCCAGGCTCTCTCTCATGAATTTTAAAAACGAAAGGATAAGACAGAGAACACTCCCTTCGTACCTAGGCATAATAATTCATTTTATTTTGATTAGTAAAACACTCTTGACTTGCCCCTTATGTACAGTGCACAGACATTAATGGACCTGGCCCTCACAAATATCAAATCCTTCTGAGCTTAGGGAAGCGAAGCTCCCCATGCTATCAATAGAAGTTTTGCCTGAGTAACAGTGGAGTAGAGTGGTTATAAGATCGGCCCAAACTAATCCAACAACTCTCATTTGGGTGACCAGACAGCTCAGATTAAGGTTTACCAGCCAGCTACGTAAAATGCATAGCTGGATTTGGCTTACCTTAAGCCGAGCCACCACGGTGTCTACACTGCACGTGCTCCCACTGGCTTCCTGTACTCCTCACAGAAGGAGGAGCACACAATGCTGGCGGGGGCTGCCCTCGGTGTTCGATTTGGGGGTCTACACTAGACCCGCTAAATCAAACGCTAGATCACCCTCCGGAGGGTCGATTTTCTCTGTAGTGTAGACATGCCCTTAGGGTCTTCCACTGAAGACAGTGCCTGATCTTGCTGCTACTGAACTAACTGGTCCATGAGCCCGAGCCAAAGCCCCCAAGTTGGTTTGAAGACTTCCACCGATTTCAGTAGGCTTTGAAGCAGGCCCCTTGTTTTGTAACCTGGTCTCATGTGAGAAATGCACGTCTCACGGAATGTCCTCCATGCAGGCCCGTGCCGACGGAAACCTCTTTACACCAGTACAACCACCCCGGGGGGTTACATCGGTTTAACTGAACTGAAAGAAACGTATCGCTTTTAGTAAATCAATACAAACCCTGGTAAACAAACCCTGATTCATCACGGTGGGATACGGCCTACCTCTCACATCGCCTTGCACAGTACCATTGCGTTAGGGCCCCTCGCATGGCGGCGGCTTCTCCATGCTACTGTAGTATGAATAGGATAATGAAGTGACAGGGTCGTTCTCTTTCCTGATTGGCTGACTGCAGCTTTTAAGCAGGGGGATAATGTCCGTATGGAGAAATGATCATCTGATGATCTGGCACTTCCGGACGTCCCAGGTAGCTAAACGAATGCTGGCAAACAGAGTATAACATGCCCCTCACCAACCTCACCTCAGTACTTCTTTGCACTCTTATTTTTGCAAATCTTAATGTTTGATGCCGTTTGTTGAGGAAACAAGAGCTAGCAGCTGGTTTGCAATAGTGCATGGAGCCCAGAGCTGGCTATCGGACCACACTCAAAGTGCCTTTGAAAGGTATTGATTGGACTGCCACTACTAGTAACCATCCTCTTGTCTTCACCAAGTGTGAAGGGCAATCGCTGTAGGTGAGATAATTAGGAAACTAATTACTATTCTGGATGAAAATGCACAAACTCCATTCAAAGAAAGATAGTATTTGAGAACGACAAGCAAAAATCAGGCCAAATATTTGCCAAAACGGGTCTGTGCATGATTAAAATGCAAATTCCACTTGAGAGAAGCAACAGGACTATAATACTTTGTAGATTACTTCTTTTTTTTTTAACTATTTTTTCATCCTGAAAGTACTTCCTAAAGGGAGATCAGATGGGGAAAACTTAAGGCACGGATCCCCCAGGTCTACCTCAGGGAATTCGCAGGAAACGCTAGCCTTCTTCAGTATTGGTGGATTCGTACAGCAGGCGCATCTAGAAAAAGGACAGGGCCCCTCTGCACCAGGCGCTGTACAAACACAAAACAAAAAGATGGCCTCTGCTCCAAAGAGATGACAGTTTTAATAACAGTCTTTTACCGCTAATGTGGAGCCAAATGCCTCTCTCCAGAGAATCTTATGGATTTCAAATGAGGATGGTTTGAAGAAAGAAGCGTGCTCTAATTATTTTCTTTATTCCTTCCCTTGAATCACTCAGCTCTCTCCTCGAGTGGCTTGACCATGATGGATGAGGACGATGGATTGAGTGAGCGGGGTCTCAGCAACTCCAGGAAGAGATATGATGATGAAGAAGGTAAGAGAAATTCCAGGGGCTGCACAATTTCCTTTTAAGTCTGCTCCCATTGAAGTCAACAACAAAACTCCCATTGAGCGATCTATCTACATCGGGGGTGGGCACTAATTTTAGATGGGGGAGCCACTTCATTAATTTTCAAAGTGGCCCTGGGCCGCCTCAGAAGGGGCGGGGCATTGGGTGGAAGGGGCGGGGCCAAGACACTTCTGTGCTCCCCTGCCCACAGGCCCTGATTGGCCTAGGGGTGGAGGAGCACATGAAGTCTTTGCCCTGCCCTACCCCACCTAGAGGGAACTGCCCGCTGTTCTGAACAGCTGGCAGTTCCCTCTAGGCATCCCCACCCCTGGTGATGGGAGAAGACTTTGCTGCCATGTACCCCTTGCAGGGCGGGGGCAGACACTTTGCACACGCCCTCTAACCCCAGGCCTAGGACCTGCGGGGTGGGGGAGCAGCAGGGCATCTGCGGGCTGGATAAACCCACTTGGCAGACCAGATCTGACCCACGGAGGCCCCTTTGCCCACCCCTGAACTACCTACATGTTTCTATGGCTCTCCTCACTGCAGTACGTCAATCGTTAATGGATTAGTTCTCCAAACCTTCCTGGTAGCTAGGGAAGTGCTATCTCCATTTATAGGCACAGAACTAAGGCCTAGGACAGTCATAAGTGACACATTCGTGGCCCAGGGGTTGAGCTGTGACTGGAACCTGCATCTCCTGAGTCCCCGTCTAATGCCCTTTCCATCAAACCAATGTTTCTCAGCCTGTGGCTCATGACAGCCAAAAGGCTGGGACGCACTGAAAATTACATTTAGTCTGACTACAAAAAATATCACTCCTCACGCACCCTTACTCTTTGCAGTCAGGGTATGTCTACACTAGCTCGGTAGTTCGAGCTAGGTAGGCAAATGAGGGCAACCGGAGTTGCACATGAAGCCCGGGATTTAAATATCCCGGGCTTCATTTGCATCTTCCTGGGCGCCACCATTTTTAAATCCCCCTTAGTCCGAACTCCGTGTCCGCGGCTACACATGGCACGGAGTAGGTAGTTCGAATTAGAGATCCTAATTCAAACTACCTACTCGGTGCCACGTGTAGAAGGGCGCCACAGTCTGGGAGAGATGTGGGCCCTGGCATAGAGTGGTGGAGAATAACAAGTAATAGCGGGTGAGAAACCAGCCAGAAGGGGGCGCTCCCGCACCAAAAATGTTAATTCCGAGTGGCCAGCAGGAGGCGCCCTTGGTGGTGAGTCTGCCCTGTGACAGGCATCAGCGGGGCGGAAAGTAGCCCGACATCCTTGTTAGCATGATACCAATGCTTGGTGTTTCAGGCCTAAGTTAAGTGGGGGGAGCGATTTCTGGAAAAGCCAGCTTTCTCCACAGGTGAAAGGTGCATGAACAGTTCCTTGATGGACAACTTCTTTCTCTCCACCGCAGACTACCACTCCATTTACATCGGGGTGCCTGTGCCACGGGGTTACAGGAGGAAACGGCGCAGGCGGAGATCCACCTCCAGCCGGGATAGAAACAGCGAGAACAGACAGCAGTATGAGAACCAGGACCGATCCGATACCGATGAAGCAGGGCAAGCAAGCTGTGACAATGGGAACGACACCGCCAGCAGGACAAGTAAGTCCCAGTTCCAAGTCAAGAATAGTGAGAGATGAGTTCCATCCATGGACGATTTCCTGAGGTGGCCACTGGGAGTCGTTAAACTAGTCAGTCTGTAACACAGCCAGGCTATTCCAGTGCTGTCTTAGAATCATAGATTCATAGAACTGGAAGAGACCTCAGGAGGTCAAGTCCAGACCCCCTGCCCAAGCCAGGACCAATCCCAACATGTCAAAGTGTTCATGCGCTGTAAGTCTCCGAGGGAGAGCCCTGTCAGTCTGTATCTGCAAAAACAATGGAAATTCCTGTGCCACTGTAGCCTAGGCCTACACGAAAAGGGGACAATGACTCAAGATACGCAAGATACTGGGATGGGTTCCCTAGGGAGGTCGTGGAGTCTCCATCCCTCGAGGTGTTTAAGTCTCGGCTTGACAAAGCCCTGGCCGGGTTGATTTAGTTGGGATTGGTTCTGCCTAGAGCAGGGGGCTGGACTTGATGACCTTCTGAGGTCTCCTCCAGCTTTATGATTCTATGATTCAAACTCCAGCTCTATTAATTACATAGCTGGAGTCGAAGTATCTTAAATCACATTTGGCACCATCCACGCAGTGGCGGGGGTTGATGGGAGCACACGACTTGCCTTACTCCTCGCGAGGAGCAGGGCTACCGGCGCCGATGGGCGCACCCTCTCAGTTCAAATTAGCGGGTCCTCACTAGACCCGCTTATTCGAGCCCCAGAAGGTCGACTGCAGCAGAGTCGATCTTCTCTGTCATGTAGACATGCCCTGAAGGTGCCACAGGACTCCTCCTCGTGATGTAAATAGTTCATGTCCTTTCCTACTTTTTACTAAGCAATAATAAATAGCCCATGTTTCTGGTCATTGGGTCAGGACTGAACGAGGGGCCATTTCCTGGCTTTTCTTCTTTTGCATTTTTTCCATCCTGACTTAATGGCAATACAGATGGAAAGTGCTATGGAACAGCCAGGTGTTATTTTTCCTGGTTTTATTCTAATTGCAATAGAAGCTAGAAACCCTAAGGCTACATCTACACTGCAGGCTTCTTGCACAAGAACTTTTTGCAGAAGAGATCTTCCACAAAATGTTATTGCGCAAGAGCGCGTCCACACGGCCATGTGCTTTTGCGCAAGAGAGTGTCCATACTGCATGGACACACTTGCGCAAGGAAAGCACCTGTGCTTTTTCCAATAGGGGTTTCTTGTGCAAAAAGAGCTTTTGCGCAAAAAGGCTTATTCCTCATAGAAAAAAGAATAACTCCTGCACAAAAAGCCCTGTCTTCTGATGATCAACAGTACTTTTTCTTGCGCAAAAATGTGCTTGTAGTGTGCACACTCTTAGTTTTTGCGCAAAAACAGCCATTTTTGAGCAAAAACTCTGCAGTGTATCATAGAATCATAGAGCTGGAAGAGACCTCAGGAGGCCATCAAGTCCAGCCCCCTGCTCTAGGCAGGACCAATTCCAACTAAATCAACCTGGCCAGGGCTTTGTCAAGCCGAGACTTCAACACCTCTAGGGATGCAGACTTCCAGTGCTTCACTACCCTCCTACTGAAATAGTTTTTCCTAATATCCAACTTGGACCTCTCCCACCACAACTTGAGACCATTGCTCCTTGTTCTGCATCTGTCACCACTGAGAACAACCTCTCTCCATCCTCTTTGGAACCTCCCTTCAGGAAGTTGAAGGCTGCTATCAAATCCCCCCCTCACTTGCTTCTCTTCTGCAGACTAAACAGACTCAAAATCCTCAGCCTCTCCTGATAGGTCATGTGCTCCAGCACCCTAATCGTTTTGGTTGCTCTCCGCTGGACCCTCTCCAATGCATCCACATCCTTTTTGTAGTGAGGGGCCCAGAACTGGACACAATACTCCAGATGTGGCCTTACCAGAGTCGAATAAAGGGGAATAATCACTTCTCTGGATCTGCTGGCAATGCTCCTCCTAATGCACCCTAATATGCCATTAGCCTTCTTAGCTACAAGGGCACAGTGTTGACTCATATCCAGCTTCTCATCCCCTGTGACCTCCAGGTTCTTTTCTGCAGAACTACTACTTAGCCGGTTGGTCCCCAGTGTAGACATAGCCTAGCTGAGGTTTGGGCCCCATTGTGCTATGCCCTGTACAGACACACGACCAACTGCCCCTGTCCCAGGGAGCTTGCAGACGAAATGCCAGAACATGACAGATGAGCAGAGAAGACTAGCAGGGCATGGATGAGTGGGATGGGGAGTTAGCAGGATACCCGGAATTCAGCAGAAAATACATTCACCGCTCTAATGTATTTCCAGGAGTCATGTAACCATAATTGTTAGTGATCCCGTCTATTTCTTCACCAGAACAGGATTGTTCCCTCAAGTCTATTTCCCAGAGCCTTGTCCAGTCTAGTTTTTAAAGCTCCTTAGTAAAGATTAACATTGTACATAACAAAATAGCTGTCAATCTCCGAGTTAGCTCCCCATATAGATTTTCTCCCCTTTTTGCTCGTTTATGACTGCACTAAACCAAACTGCTGTGGGAGTCGGATCACAAGAAGTGACAGGTTACAGGGGGTTGCTTTTCAATCCAGGCCCCTCGTTCGGGACATCCTTTTGGACTCACCAGAGATTCTGCTTGCAATTCATTCATGCTTTTCACCGGCAAAGTATTCCAGCAATTTGCTGGCAATCCTGCACTTGTAACACCAGAGTACCAGCCTGGAAATCAGGCCTGTAATTCCTTATACTTAAACTATTTGTGGGGGTTTTTTCCACTTGGCAAAGCATAGTGTCCCAGCTAGTTAGTCAATGTGACAGACATGTCGATGTCTGCAACCCTGTACTGTTGTCCCTCGTGGGTGTTTCGGAATAAGGCAGAATTTGCAAACTCCGGTCATCTGAAGAAGTGGGCTGTGCCCACAAAAGCTCCTGATCTCATCTACGTGTTTTGTTAGTCTATAAAGTGCTACCAGACTATTTATTTTTTAAGTTTATTTTGCAAAGCACGTCTATTTGAAACTGTCTCCAAACCGGCACAGAATCCTTCCCTTGAAGGAAATAAACCCAATGCGGGATTCCCGATGGATGGTGTCAATATCTGAAAACGAAGCCCAGCATACATAGAAAACGTGAAGAAATATAAAGCATCAGGAGAATCCAAAACATATTAGGATTTAAGATAAGGCCTGTGCAGTAGTTCCAACTCGTACTTTGGCAGAAATCCCATTGACTTCTGTGGGAAATGTTGCCTGAGTAAAGCAGCACAGGGCTTGGAGTAAATGTGTGCAGCATTTCGGAAGTTGTGGGGATTATATGAAAACCTGTGCTGCTGTTCCCATCCTCCCACCTCTCTCTCTCTCATCCCCCCCCCCCCCATTCACTCTCTCTCACACACCAGTTCACTCACCTCTTACACAGGCACCTTGGTGGATTTGGTAACTTCACGTCATGAGAGCCGAAGAGAGAGGAAAGTGCTTTATATTCTCTATAATCTGCTCATTAAGCTGTGGAATTTAACAAGCCTGAGTGAATAAAGGAGGAAGTTTGGGGTGTTTTTTGTAGCGTACGTTCAACAGGAAGGAAATGGGGGAAAGAATGCGAACCGGTCCAGGTAAGAACCATTCCACATGCTATTTCCAGTCTTAAAAACCTTGGCATTCATGGACTTTGTTTCTTGCTTACCGAAGCAGTTTCTTCACTGTTCTAGGGGCCGGCAAAAGGCAACCGCATGACTTCTATTTGCAAATGGAAGCACAATTGATTAGCAATACAGTGTGGCACCTGAGAATCGGATGTGCTTGCTACAAATACATATTTTGGGAGCAAGCACAGGGCTCAGGTCTGAGAGGCGAAGAAAGATGTTTTTCACCAATGTGGCTGTTCCTTCCAAAGTAGAGGATGCTGAGCCTTAAAAATGTGGCACAGCTGATCCCCCCAAAAAGGGCAGTTTATCAGTAAGGCCACGTGCATGCTAGAGAGAGACGGAAAGAGAGAGCCTTCCATTTTGTAGCCAGTTGTGTTCTGGAAGTGGGGAGAAGAGGCGAATTGCATTTAGAATGAGAGGCTGGTCTTTCCAACAGAGAGATCATTTAGAGCAGTGGACTGAGCTTTTTGATGCATCCTAAGGAATTTGGACATTCCGCTCCCTTTAAAATTAGTGGAAACTGGGCATCTAAATCCCCTAAGTGGTTGTCAGTCCTGAAGTTGAATAAGTGCTACTGTTGGGATGCTTTATTGGAGAAGGCAGCTGGTTGAAAGAATGATTTCCATTGAAGAACCAGGCTTGCGGCTATCCTTTTTAAGGGGCAAGGGATGGATAGCAAAGGAGAAAAAAGCCCATTGTCTGTTCCGATTATCCTGCAGGAAATGAAGGTGTCTCTCTTTTGAAGGAATGGATAATTGTCAAGCACCCTGAGACAAATAACATTTCCAAATAGATGCGAGGTGCTAGTTAGTTGAAAACTGCAGATAATATTGTGCACTCCCTGTTGGCACATGCTGCCTTTATTCTTTGAATGGCACCCAGCAACCGCTTACTGTATTTATATATGATACACAAGAAAAGCAAAACCTGTGTTGGCCTTTGTTTTGCAAAATCACATCAGCTGGGGGTTTTATCGTGTTGGGAAAAGATTTGGGGTGGTGCATCTCTGATATATAGGCCAAGGCATAGAACACTATTACATTCTGTTATTCTGCGGAGCTTTCAATTATAACATAATCAAACTGTTTTATCTCTAGAATTAATGTTGAGCTAAGCCTTCAGATCTGGAAGAGTCAGGGCCTGATTCTAATGTCACCGGCGTTCAAATTAGGGGTAACTCCCTAAAATCAGTGATATAAGTCTGGTTGAGAGAAACCAAAATCTGTCACCGTGGCAATATCTTTCTCAATTAATGTTTTTCTTTCAAATTACACTGTCATCTTAGCCCTGCCTAACAGTGTATCTCTTTATGACCTTTGATAGAGTTCCTTGCATAAGTGTATGCATTCTGCTTTAGCTTTAGTCAATTGCCTTTCAAAAGT